CAATTCTTGAGAACATTCTTTTCTCAAAGAGAAGATTACAAATTTGCAAACTTACAAGAAAAACCTCACAAGGCAAATATGTTTGCACAATTCTAGAACAAAGAAAGAACAATCAATAATAAATATGATTGAGCACAATAAGTGTTCTTGAAAGCAAAATGAATATTGAATGAAAAATAGGATTGAATGAAAAATAGGCTTGAAATGCTCAAACTTGAGGTTTGATGCTTTCTCTTTGATTCTCTCTTGATTCTAGTTGCTTGATGTTTCTTGTTCTTGATCAATGGCTTCTAAGCTTGCTTAAATACACCTTGAATCACTTCTGAACGTTGGGGATCATTAATGAAGTTATTGTAGCCGTTTAAGTGTGAAAACAATAAATATTTCTGCTTAGAGCGTGGGGGAAATCGGTTCCCTAAGTGTAAAATTCAAATATTTCGACCGTTGAACAGTGGGGGGAATCGGTTCCCTCCGAGCATACTGGAATTCTCGGAGCCAAACCATTCAGGGGGGGATCGGTACCCCCTTGGGGGGGGAATCGGTTCTCTTTGAGCAATCTGGAATTTTTGGCTTTAAAATGGTTCGAAATATTTTGTAAAATCGTTTTGAAATTATTTTTAAGATTAAAACTTAATTTTACACTTGAGTAAGGATTTAAAATGAACTTTGAAATATTTTGAGTAATATTTTGATATTCGATTTAATATATCGAATATGCTTAGAAAAATCATTTTCAAAATTAAAATTCTTTTAATTTAATTTTTTATATCGAAACATCAAAATGTTTTCAACAACTATTATACAACACATGTTCGCATATACATATTCTCATACAATCCCTTCATTCAATTATAACATCTAATCTATCTTATTATACTAACATGTATTCATATCATTCACTTCATATACATAACATATCATAAAGCATTCTAATAGAAGCACATATGAGTCATATTATTTTCATATATTTTATCATATATTTCATGATCACATGACCTATTATCATAATACATGCATTTACATAGTTCACACATAAAAATGCATTCAACAATTAAACATATGCATTTACTCATATACTATACATCTAACAGCATATCACTACATGTTTATGCTTTAGTACTTATCATATAATATCGGAATTGGACTCATCGCAAGTCTTAATTCCTTAACATAACGTACACTTACTATCATGGACTCACCTGGTCTCAATAAACACTCTTAAGCTCTTGTTTTCTTTGCGTATCTTACTTTGCTGACCAATCTGAACTTTACTTTTGATCGATGTCTACACAATTATATATTTATACTATCAATATTCCATTGATATACTATAATCTATAATTTCTTAGACTGAAAGAAAGATTTATTTTATTTCATATTGAAGTGCATCGGTACATTATACCATGCATCGATGCATCCCTTAACATGTGCATCGATGCATCCCTTAACATGTGCATCGATGCATCCCTTAACATGTGCATCGATGCACTACTCATGCATCGGTACACCAATCACCTTCGATGTTTTCATTTTAAGGGGGTGCATCGATGCACTCCTTATGCATCGATGCACTAAGGGCATTCGATGTTTATTTATTTGAGAGTGCATTGGTACACATTGAATGTGCATCAATGTGTACCGATGCACATAGCCCAGAAATTACATCTTGAGCATGAAAATGTCTTGTTTTGACTCCAAATTCTACTTATTAATCCCTCCTTGTACCTTAAATTGTCTATACATATATAAACCTTCTTATAACACTATAACACTTTACCATCTCCCATAATCCACCAAAATTCTTGAATTAAAGAATTTCATCAACTTTTCCATGTATTCTAAATTCAATTCTATCACCTTTAACTTCTCAATTAACCCATTGAGAAGTCAAATCCATCCTTAGAACTTCAAAAACCTTTCTATAACAAAAGTTCATTTCTAAACTCTTAATAAAAATTCCTTTCTAATTCTTTCTTCTTGGTGTTTTAAGCTTATATAAGATTTCTTTAAGCTTATATAACACTCAAAGAATAAAACACAACTCAAATATTCAAGAATTAACCATCAAAATTAAAACTCACCTTTGAGGCTTAAGCATGAACACACGGGAAGAAGAAAGAAAGAAGAAAAAGCAGAGTTCCAGATAACTCTCCAAACCCACGTGTTTCATTCTTATAAAATGGGGGAAATATCTTTTAAGTTAAAATTACCATAATGCCCTTATAATCCTTTAATATTTACCCCTTTCATCCAATACTGAAATAATCCTATTTAAATCCTTGAATTTAAATTTTCCTAATTTTATCCCTAAATTTTAAAAAATCTCATTTTTGTCACTAACCCTGATTTCAGGATGTTACATATATAGAGTGTCTCAATAAAGTAGTTGATTTTGTTATGCTATTTGAACGAATCTGTAGAAAAAATTAATTTTAATAACATTAACAATTTAATATAAACATTATTATAAACAAACTAATTTAATCTAAACTAAGTAAGAGATTAAAACATCAACAAAAAAATAAAATAAAATTTAATTTAATTTACTTGATTTTCATCTCTTATTCTTCTTCTTTTTTCCTCCTTCTTCTTTCTTCTTCTTTTATTTCTTCTTTCTTCTTTTTCCTTTCTTTCTTCCTTCTCCTCTTTTTCTTTTTCTTCTTGGTGCCCCTCCCTCCCTCCCGTAGACTCACCTCCCCCATTATTGCTGCTATTTTTGCGACATTATTGCTGCAAAATGCATCTTTTATTGTTGCCTCCATGCATGCGGCAGACTGCCATGCAGGGGCAACGTCACGGGTGTCGTTCGCGGGGGAGGGGAGCGCATGCATGCAAGGGAGAGACACATGGAGTACAACGCGTCTTTGGGAGTTTTTTGACTTGCCATGCGACTTCCATGCATGCAGCGTCGCGGGAGAGGATATGCATGCAGCGTGAGAAACGCCTGGAAGCCAGTACGACTCCGACCTTAAACGCATTGATGGTCATGAGTCTTCAAGGGGTCAAGCTTGGAGGCCGGGATGACAATGCGTCTCCGGGAGAGACTGTAGCAATCTCCACATTCGAACAAATAATATTTCCCCAGCATTATCCGACCAATTATTTTTTTCTCACCGCATTATCCCACAAAATCAGCCTTTATTTTGAGTAAAGCTTTTAAATATCAATGATATTTTCTGACAAAAAAACTAAATAAAATTGTAAAAAGTTTAAGAGTCAAACTGAAATTAAGAAATTCTTTAAATACAATAATATCCAGCTGAACATATGTTGGGATTAATTGTTTTTTCCAAATATTTCGGGCTGATATTTTTATAGTTAAATAAATCCTTTTATTTTGCTTTTTCCCTCATATTTATTTATTTTCTTTACTTTTAAAACAAAACTGAAATTTTAATTAACATTTTAGTTCGGCAGAGGTGGATATGATTAATCTAGTAAATACAAATCTAAAATATAACAAAACCGACAAGAAACAAAGTAATAAGCTAACAGGAGCAACCAGGGATTAATGTTAAAACTGTTTCAACCGAAAAGAACAGTCGAACGAACAAACCTTCCTTGCATGTAATTAGTTTTAATTGTTTCTCTTAATTAGCCAACACCATTAATATAAAAGACACGACAGAAAGTAACAGCAACCATAGATTGGTCTGAATTCAAACCACACTGAGATCGAGGCAAAGGATTGATTAAAAATCAAACATGCCGAGAAGAAATGTAGAAAGGAAAGATTCAAGTGCGAAAGTTGCAGTTGCAGTAGACAAGGACAAGGGCAGCCAATATGCATTGAAATGGGCCGTCGATCATCTCATGTCCAAGGGTCAAACCATCACCCTCGTCCATGTTAAAACCAGAAATTCTTCCGTCCCCTCCCCATGTATGTTTCATTCAATTATATGATATATGTATGTATGTATTGGCTGGTTGGTACGTGAACTTGATGATCTGATGAATGCATGCATGCATGCAGCTGGGAACTACATGAACATGTCTAATGTCAATGAGGAGTTCTCAAAAGCATATAAGCAACAACTGGAACATCAGGCCAGGGAGATCTTTCTTCCTTTCCGATGCTTCTGCTCGCGGAAGGATGTACGTTTTCGTTCTCGTTTTAGCTTTCATTCTCATTGATGGTGAATTTATTGTGTTGTGCGTATGATGTTTGTAACAGATCACCGGAAATGAAGTCATACTGGAGGATACCGATATAGCTAGAGCCTTGGTCGATTATATTTCGTCCGTTCCTATCGAGATCATGGTACTCGGCACCCCGTCGAAAGGCGGATTTGTTAGGTGAATGATTGTTTCATCTTTCTCCACCCAACACCTATAAGACATCAATTATGCCCATTGATCTTTCTCTGCATTTGCCTTTGTTAAATGTCTGACAGAAGATTCAGGAGCGTGGAGCTTACGACTACAGTCTCGAAAGCGGCTCCCGATTACTGCACCGTGTATGTGATCGGAAAAGGGAAGATTTCGTCGGTGCGATCTGCTACCGCTTCCCCTCCTTCAAGACTCGACATGCCTGCGCCTCAACTGCTGCTGCCTCCACCCAGTAACATCCCCGAAACACCGGAAACCCCTTCGGCTCATTCACCTTACCTCAAACATAGAGGTTCTGGTAGGCCTCAACTTCCACTACCCCACCTGTATGAAGACACGGAAATGATCAAGTAAGTTGTAATAAGATTATCAACAAATATATATATATATACACACACACGTCATAACTCTGTAACTCAAAATTTTGAATCCCTGAGAACAGGTCACCATTTTCGAGAACACGAAACAGATTCGAGCCCTCAATTCCTGAATCCGACATATCGTTCGTAAGCAGTGGGAGGTTGAGTACTGATAGCGTGTTCTATCTGAGCGACCGCCCGGAATCCGGAAGCCAACGGATTTCTGTCAGCTCCGAATACGAAAACATAAGCCTCGATTCTTCATTATCAGGAAACAGGTCCATGGATTTCAGTTCACAATATGATTTCTCCTCGACGTCACTCGAAAGTGGTAGTAGGGCATCATGGTCATCTCTGAATATGTCATCTCAGAACATGGTAAGACGTTTTTCTTCCATGAAAACAAGCATAATCAATTATACTAAATGGTTAATTCGATCGGTTTCATATTAAATTAGAGCACATACAAGGTATAGAATGGAACTTAACTGTTCAGATGCACACAGGATGATGTGGAAGCCGAGATGAAACAACTCAAACGGGAGCTCAAGCAGACAATGGAGATGTATAGTGCAGCCTGCAAGGAAGCACTCTTGGCGAAAAAGAGGGTAATTACTAAATATCGAAAATCCGAAATCATTTCCGAGCATAATCTACAAACTTGAGAATGTATTTAACATAATTTTGTTAAAATTCTCATTACAGGCAAAAGAACTTCAATGCTGGAAGTTACAAGAAGAACAGAAGATCGAAGAGGCGAAACTAGCCGAGGAAGCTGCGCTTTCGCTCGTGGAAAGGAAAAAGCAAAGTGTAAGGTTGCCGTTGAGGCAGCCCAAGCAGCTCAAATGATTGCTGAACTTGAAGCACAAAAGAGAATGATTGCAGAAAAGAATGTTAGCAGAGACGACAAAGAGGAGAAATTGGTTGCTGCACATGATGTTAGGTATCGGAAATATACGATTCAAGATATCGAAGCAGCAACGGATCTCTTCTCTCCGTCTCGCAAAATAGGAGAAGGAGGTTACGGGCCTGTGTACTATTGCTACCTAGACCACACACCGGTGGCGATAAAAGTTCTACGTTCGGATGCAACCCAAGGGGAATTACAATTTCAGCGAGAGGTGTGCAGACACATAAGAACTTGTTATTCTGAAATACGTTATATAAATTTGCTGATTATATATCTTGGCGTCTCGTACAGGTCGAAGTGTTGAGCTGCATACGACATCCGAACATGGTTCTTCTTCTTGGAGCCTGCCCGGAGTATTGCTGCCTAGTCTACGAATACATGGCTAACGGGAGCTTGGAAGATCGACTGTTTAGGCGTGACAACACTCCGGTACTCCCATGGCAAGTAAGATTCCGAATTGCAGCAGAGATTGCAACAGGTCTTCTTTTCCTCCACCAAACCAAACCGGAGCCGATTGTGCACCGTGACCTGAAACCTGGCAATATTTTACTCGATCGTAACTATGTCAGCAAGATCAGTGATGTTGGATTGGCTAGGCTTGTTCCTCCATCAGTTTCCGACTCCGTAACTCAGTATCGTATGACAGCAACGGCTGGAACATTCTGTTACATAGATCCAGAATATCAGCAAACCGGAATGCTGGGGATAAAATCTGATGTCTACTCACTTGGGATCATCCTACTACAAAATAACCGCCAAGTCACCTATGGGTTTGACTCATCAGGTCGAGAACGCTATCGAAAACGGAACTTTCGCTGAGGTACTCGACCCAGCTGTGCCTGACTGGCCAATGGAAGAGACCTTGACCTTTGCCAAGTTAGCCCTTAAGTGTTCGGAGCTGAGACGGAAAGACAGACCCGACCTAGGTCGGGTCGTGTTGCCTGAGCTTGACAGATTGAGAACCCTTGCCGAAGGAAACATGTCTTTCATCACCAATTGCAGCAGTGCAGGGACTTCACCAAACAACAGCCAAGTTTCCACCACAACAAGTGACATCAAAGACTGGTCCTACTGAACTAGATAAACCGGCAGAAGAATTCCGGTACAAGGAGGCGAAGTCCGCCATCGAAACTCGATTTATTTCGTTTTTTACGTCCAGAAAACATGGTTAAGAATGCAACTATACAGCTGCTATAGACATATTAGAGTAAGTTATGCATTAACATCAAGACGTTAAGGCTTTAATATAAAAGATATAGGTGCTCGTCATTGTAGAACTCTCCCTCTTGGAAAAAAACATTGCTCTGATTCCTTCTTCAATTCACTATCAGATGTGTAGGGACTTTTAATAATATTACTACCCAATATTTGTATATTTTAAAATGGTCCATGAACTAATACATTTTGTTCAAGTAATACTTTTTATAGTTAATTAAGTTTTTATATTTTTTTCAACTTATTATTTTATTTTTACTTAAAAATACTTTTTTTCTCTTATGGGTGATTAAAACTTGACTGTGTTCGAAAAATCAAATTTTTCGACTTGACTCAACTCAGAAAAAAAAATTAAATTTGAATCTATTTATAAAATAGAACTCGAATAACTCAAAATGTTTAGTAGTTAGTAGATTAGTTTCTAAGTTCGAATCAAGTCTCTCAACTTTGCATGATATATATATATATATATATCAAATATGAACAAATATATATGTATGTCATATATGATTATAAAAAAATTAAATTGGAATCAAATAATATAATAATATTATAAATATTTACAATTAAATTCAAATAAAAACTCAGTTGGACTTGACTCAAATTTCATAAATTTAACTTGACTCTAATTTTTTAAATGAATTTTAAGTTATAAAATAAGATTTATTAACTCGACTTTACCAAAAAAATCTTTATGGTAAAGTACACAAATGATCCAAACTATATGATAATGCTTTATTGAATTCATTGATTACTAAAAGTTACAAAATGATCCCTATCGACATGGTGCTGATTTGTTGAGTCCTCAACTATTAAAACTTACAAAATGGTCATCAGACTATTCATATGATTCAAACTCGTCCTTTTCTATGAGAAATTGACATCTGTCTAAGCTGTGATGTTAACATGCTGACTAAGATATTATAAAATTTATCTTATAATCTCAAATGATTCTAATATCAGATTTTATTATATCTTAATCGACAGGTTAACGTCCAACTCAGACGACCTTTAATTTTTTAACGAAAAATGATGAGTTTGAAACATATGAATAGTTAAATATTCATTTTGTAACATTTAATACTCAATGACTTAATAAATCAACACTCTATAATTAAAGATCATTTTATAATTTTTAATAATTAAATAAATCAACAAAACATTATCATATAATTAAAAAATCATTTATATACTTCACACAATCTTTTTAACTTTGATCAATCAAATACTGTTTCATATTTGCTCTTATTAATTTGTGTGTGAAGGATCCGTGTGTGTATATATGGCGAGTTAGCTCGCAATCAACCCGCGGGGAGAGAAGAGAGGAAGAGCTGCTGATTGTAAACAAGGAAAATAATTAAAAGTTCTCTTCTCTTCTCTCTTTCTTTTCCATTTTCTCATTCAGAAACGATCTCTTTACTTCTATTCACTCCTTCCCATTTTCCCTCTTGCTTCAATCTCCCATATCTTCTGGTCCAACAAAATCCCTGAATTGAACCGAATCCCAAGACTCTTGTGGGTGGGTGGGTGCCCAGTTTGTAGTATTCTACAGAAATAATTAAACTGCTAAGGGCAGGCTGATTCTAGGACCCTGATAGTCGTCGGAATTCACTGCGACGGGCAGGCTGATTCTAAGATCCTGATAGTCGTCGAAATAAACTGCGGGTAAAGGGCAGGTTGATTGAAGCAATCAAGTCTTATTTCTGTAGAATACTGTCAATAGGGGACTTCATCAATGGTGCATCTGCACCTTAAATAAATTCCATTTTAGTCTCACAATTGTGTTGGTTATAATAGTTTCCTAACTATGCTGTTCTGTTTTTGAGTATTGCTTCCTATAAGTTGCAAGCAAATTTGTTCAAGACCTTAGCACCGTAGGATCTACCTCTTTATAGTCCTTTCTCTGCCTTTGAAGTCACTAGCATTGAACTCTTCTGGTTTATCTGTCGTTACCGTTAGGGATACTTGATTTCAGTCTTGTGTTCTAGTTGCCATTTCATTAGTTAAATATGTAGCAAATAACACCTTCTGCGATGTGATTTGTGAGTGATGTATTGAGTTGCATTTGTTAATATTTCCTATGCCGTATATTTTGGCCCCTAAGCTTTGTTTTGAACATCTAGTGTAGCCCATCTCGTGTCTCCCACATCAAAACCTTGGGTTCCTTTTTCTTTTTGCTGTATCATTGGACTTGGGAAGTAGCAAACACACTAAATACTAGAGTATCCGACATGGTAGTATTTGGAGGATGAAACCTAAATACCAACATGCGCCAGATATTTATTTGACTAACATAGTATTTTATGGAAAATGAAGAGTCATTTTAATTAGGTAGAAAACTTATACTCAGTGTTCTGTTTTGGACATTCTGTTCCTGAATTTTAGTAGGTATAACATTTTGCTTGAGATACTTCTTGATAGCAAAATATAACAATGATAATAACACATGTCTGCTGCTTGTATGTTGTGTTAATTTTCTGCTTTTGAATTTTTCAACCACAAGACAATATTTCCTTTCCTGGTGTCCCCATAGCCAGCCTGTATTTCCTTTGCTTTTGGGGGAATATAACAATATACTGATACTGATGGCATCAGAGGATCTTTTCACTAATAAAAATCATTGAATTGGCAGAGGGGAGAAGGCATTTTGCAGTGCGGAATGCCGCGACAAGCAAATTACGTAAGATGATGATCACAAACAAATATGTGGGGCTGAAGCCAGGAATATGTGGGGCTTAAGCCAGGAAAGGGAAACCACTTCATCGCTCCGAGTCCAAACCCCACTGTTCTGGCCTGCAGGTGTTGTTCGCTGCGGTTGCAGCAGCATAGACTATTACTTAATCGCTACCAGTACATTATACAATAAATAAAAGGAAAGAATACGCAAAACATGCAGGTGCAACTGCAGATTTTTGGTAGGCTTTTGAGTTTGAGTTTCAGCAAATGATATTTCCTAATCCTTTCGGCATTTCAGCCTTAATTGTATGTAGAAAAATCATAGCATATTTATATGTATTATTATTAAGAGTTGAGATGTTATGAATATCATGTCAGCAGTAATGAATAAAATCAAGTTGGAAATGTTATTTTAGAATGTCAGCTGAACAATAAATTGGGATGTAGTTTCATGTCCATGAATCATCAATGAATATGAATGGCTTTCCACTACCAACATTTCCAAAAACAAAGACAGCTACATGGCTCAGACAACAAAGCTGAAGACGAAGAAGAAGAATACTAACCCTTCTAAGCAGTAGCACGCCTAAATCAATATGCAAGTGAATGTGTGATCAACCTCTTAAAAGGACATTTAAACTTAAAATAAATAATAATAATGAAATAATCATCTAATTTATTTAACTAATAAATAAACGCACCATAGGTATTGATATGAAAGAGAGAAAAAATAGTTGCGTAAAAATCTTGAACGTAATAGAGGGACCGATACTATAATTTGACTGTTGTCTTTTAATAACTAATAAAAAGAATCCTGATAATCTGCCTGAGAATACTAAGGAAGCCAAAATTTTGAGTTCTAAGCTCCAAATAAACATATGTAAACATCTGAGTTAAAATATACCTCACGGGATGAGGCAATTTTGCAGGTCAAAATCAGTATATCCTACATCAACAAGACATAACCCATCAGGGGGAGCTGGCGGTGCCGTGGCACGTCTACACGTAGCCTCCATCAGTTTTAGCAATGCATCTTCTTCTGCTCCTGCAGCTGCTTCCCTTACATAGGTTTCCACAAGAACGCGGACCATCTATTATATTTGGTTAGATACCATCAGAATGCAAGTTCGACAAACGGTGACCACACAATGTAATTGTGTTATAACCTGAGAAATAAAGACTCCTTATCTAGAACTTAACAATAGTTCATATGTTTCTAACATCTATCGATTAATAAAAAAAACAAGGGATATAAAAACAATATGATCTAAAATTCTGGAAAAAGCACATGCATGGGGACATGCAAACAAGCACATCTGTGTATACCTTGGGTTGGAATCGATTTGCAACCAGTTCAACACGCATAACCTTTCTTCCATCCTCACAATCCTACAAAAAAGTTAATACTATCAGTGATGTCTACATATATAATAGTAATAGACAAATATACCTGGATTTATCCCATCAAGAACTTAAACGAAAAAGTATGAGTTGGAACTTAAAGTACATGCTCATATATAAATGAAAATCAACTGGATGCACAAGACTAGAAGGGGCTCAAATTATAAAGGTTCCCACATAACTAAGAAAATCGCTAGTAATTTTTTTCCTAATTGGTTAGGCAAGTTACATAAGGAGGTAATATTTCAACTTTGATGTTGCAATTATCCGTAAATTAGTATTACAAATTTGCAATTATCCACAAAAGATTCTCTCTTTTAGCCTGAAAATAAACAATCAAACAACAAATGATCAACTCTCAGAAAATGCAGGCACAGATATGCATATAGGCAAGCAAAGCTCGAGAAAGAACAAAATTAGCAAAGATTTAAAACGAGCCCAACTTATCAACATAATTCAACCCTTCTATTTATAAAGTTGTTCTGATAAATTATATATTAATATAGCAAAATGAGGAAAAATTTAGAATTATCTATGCAAAAGTTAAATTTTAAGTCATATGACAAAACCTAGGAGAAGGCTACGCTTCAACATGAGATGAAGTTTTAGCAACAAAAAACAGGTGAAAAGCCTATGTATCTATTGCATGCGCAGCCTATATGCAAAATCTTTTGAAATCTAATGAAAGCAAAACTGCAGTCATGTTCATCCTCAGGGGTGTATAGCAAGGAACAAAAAGGTTTGCAACGTTGATAACAGTAAGAGATATTTACTGAACAGGGTATTCTTGCTTCTGCAGCTCGAGCATGGTACATGAAGCACTCTGTTGGTGGCCCTCCGAAATTAATATTTATAAGAAAAACTGTCATTAAACAATTACATGGCAAAAATAAAACAACTGGCTTAGACACCTTGGGGATAAAAGAGAGATAAAATACTATACACAACACAAATTACATGATATATGAAATACTCTGAGTCTACAAACAGAAAATTCTTACAACTTTTTTTCTTTGATAATTTGGAGGTTGGGGAGTTGCTAGGGTTTAAACTCAAGCTTTCTTGTCCTCCAAGTTTTCATTTTGCAATTCTTGCAAAAGTCATAAGATTCAGATATCTTTAATAATCCAGAAGAAGAGTATGGCAATTCACATTACTTTATCTCAATTATGAATTTCTTGATAATGTCAACTTTGTTTGACTCTTGCATGTTTCTAGATGCTTTGGTATCACGTGCAAACATTTTGTACGACAATAACTTTCCTTCTAATTGCCATAGTAGCTGATTAACTCTCCATACACCGAAACTGGTTGGCTTGTTTGCTGCTTCAGACTCTGTGCTATTGCTGATAATTACATTCTCAACATTTTCCAAACTAATGCTCTCAACACACTTGTTACTTGGATCATTATAGTTTCCAGAAAAACTAAAATTCTCAATTTCCTTCTCATTCTCAGAACATTGCTTCTCATTTTCTTCATTATTCAAAGGAAAAATATACAAATAGCGCCTCCATTTTGCAGAGAAGTTGGGATGGAATACACATGAAACCTACAATAATTCAACAATAGTTGCTAGTGTATAGGAGTAATTATTATGGATAAGCTTTGCAGTTGCTTCTATCAAGGAATATTTTTCCCCTTGGGTAATCAACATTCATAAATAAGAACCATTACCTCAGAAACTGATACAACTCTGAGTTTCCCAGGTGCTGCACTATTGATTGCATCTTCAATATCAAAAGGGTATCTGGGGAAAAGGTGGGCGAAAAATAAGATACAAATGTAGGGGGAAATGTGGGAAAACAATCCACACAACCCCAACAACCTTAACCATAACATATTTGTTGAGTTAATCGATCGACGGAATCGGCCAAGAGGGGGTGAATTGACAATTAAAATTTCGGTGGAAGCTTTTGCAGAAAATTGAAAAGATTTGCACAGCGATTTAGAGTGGTTCGACTTTCTCAATCAAAGTCTACGTCCACTACCTTAGCTATCCACACTAAGGATTTTCCACAAATTCACTAATTTGTCTTTCTTTTGAGGACAAAGAGTAACCTTACAAACCCTCAAGAATTATACCTCAAATTCTTGATAAAACTATCTCCCAAAGAGAACAATACAAATTTGCAAACTTACAAGGAAATCCTCACAAGGTAGATTGTTTGCACAATTCTAGAACAAAGAAAAGAACACTCAAAGATGAATACAATTGAGCACAATATGTGTTCTTGAAAGCAAAATGAATATTGAATGAAAATAGGTTTACTTAAGTAAGGATTAAAAATGATTTTTGAAATATTTGAAGTAATGTTTTGATATTCGAATAATTATATCGAATATACTTAGAAAATCATTTGGAAAATCTTAAAATTCATTTAACTTAATTTGTTATATCGAAATATCAAAATGTTTTCAACAATATTCTATTTCAATCATAAGATATCTTACAAACCAGACTGCTTCATCATTCGCCATGATACATAAACCTTGGCTAAATATGATCATTTTCACAATAAATCAAAATCATCAATTGATAGGAAAACGATGGCGTGGACTAGGGAGGAAAGAGTGGTAAATCAATACAATATGAAGTAACTCGTTGTCTCTTTGGATCCATGTCACAAATTCGCAATTATGCAACTAACTTATTAATAGCTCAACCAAAAATCACTCAGTAGTTCTCTAAGGATTTTCAACTGACACTACAAGCAAAATTCTTAAATATCACAATCAACTAAAGAAACAAGCAATTCTAATCTTGACTATCAACAAGTAACAGGAATCATTTTCAGTAACTCAAGAAATTCACAAGATATCTATGTTTCTTGCAATTTTTCGACTAATCCAAAATAAATTCACAAGCAGTTCTCAAGATCAACCAAAATTCACAAGATAGAACTAGATATGAAGATGAAATAGTCAATGAAGAGAAAAAACTAAAGAGAATAATTATCTAAACCAAGGATTATAACACTTCACTTTGAATGATTTTCCTTTTGATTTTTCCTTTTGATTCCTATCAAGAATTTGAAAGAGATGTTAAACCTCAGGAAAAATATGAAAACAGGGTGACTAGGGCCAACCAACTTAAAGGGAAATTAAGAAGATGGACTAAACACATTAAATGTCCGTTAAAGGAAGATGAGAACAGCAAAAATCCGTAATGAAATGTGCCATTACATACAGAAAGAACAAACTTGCTGAATAGCAGACACTCCTTTGTCGGTTCGGCCTGCAACCACGGTACAACCTTCCAGTGGTTTAGATTTTTCCTTCAGAAGTTGTGCTTTTTTGTCATCAACAAATCTCCCAAGAGATCTTTCAACTATTCTGCAGTGCATTCAAGTAAGAGATAGATAATATAAATTTCAGTTTTCATAAAATCAAAGGGGGAAAACAGCTTACTGTAAACAGCTTACTCCTGAACAGTGTTCAAACCAGGCTGCTTCTGCAATCCATCAAAAGCACATCCACTGTATGAAACAATTATCTTGAACGTTACTCTTTGCCATCTTCCACTCCTTTCTTCTCTCTCATCACAACCCTCTGATCTTTTATAATCATCGTCAACAACATCATAACGTGTCTGCCATAAAAACTTAGTTGAATAAATACAAGCAACAAATGGGTTAACCGAATCGAAAAGAAACAGAGAGATACCTGAATGTCATTGCCATTGCCAGTCCCGAATAACGTCGATAAGGTTAAGCAGCCGTTAACCACATCGGAATAGAAACGGCGAACATCCTGCCAAGGTCGCTCATACATGAATTGAAAGCTCTCTCTAGCGGTCCACCTCGCAGAACTACAAGAATCGGTGTGGTTGTAGTGAAAATAAACCTTAGTTTCCGTTTGGTTCTCCATGGATGGCATTGATGCTAATGCTCTGAAGCTCCCTGGATTTTCCTTTTTACGGATAAAAGCTGCTAATGTAGGGGGAAATGTGTGAAAACAATCAACACAACCCCAACAACCTTAACCATAACATATTTGTTGAGTTAATCGATCGACGGAATCGGCCAAGAGGGGGTGAATTGACAATTAAAATTTCGGTGGAAGCTTTGCAGAAAATTGAAAAGATTTGCACAGCGATTTAGAGTGGTTCGACTTTCTCAATCAAAGTCTACGTCCACTACCTTAGCTATCCACACTAAGGATTTTCCACAAATTCACTAATTTGTCTTTCTTTTGAGGACAAAGAGTAACCTTACAAACCCTCAAGAATTATACCTCAAATTCTTGATAAAACTATCTCCCAAAGAGAACAATACAAATTTGCAAACTTACAAGGAAATCCTCACAAGGTAGATTGTTTGCACAATTCTAGAACAAAGAAAAGAACACTCAAAGATGAATACAATTGAGCACAATATGTGTTCTTGAAAGCAAAATGAATATTGAATGAAAATAGGTTTACTTAAGTAAGGATTAAAAATGATTTTTGAAATATTTGAAGTAATGTTTTGATATTCGAATAATTATATCGAATATACTTAGAAAATCATTTGGAAAATCTTAAAATTCATTTAACTTAATTTGTTATATCGAAATATCAAAATGTTTTCAACAATATTCTATTTCAATCATAAGATATCTTACAAACCAGACTGCTTCATCATTCGCCATGATACATAAACCTTGGCTAAATATGATCATTTTCACAATAAATCAAAATCATCAATTGATAGGAAAACGATGGCGTGGACTAGGGAGGAAAGAGTGGTAAATCAATACAATATGAAGTAACTCGTTGTCTCTTTGGATCCATGTCACAAATTCGCAATTATGCAACTAACTTATTAATAGCTCAACCAAAAATCACTCAGTAGTTCTCTAAGGATTTTCAACTGACACTACAAGCAAAATTCTTAAATATCACAATCAACTAAAGAAACAAGCAATTCTAATCTTGACTATCAACAAGTAACAGGAATCATTTTCAGTAACTCAAGAAATTCACAAGATATCTATGTTTCTTGCAATTTTTCGACTAATCCAAAATAAATTCACAAGCAGTTCTCAAGATCAACCAAAAATTCACAAGATAGAACTAGATATGAAGATGAAATAGTCAATGAAGAGAAAAAACTAAAGAGAATAATTATCTAAAACAAGGATTATAACACTTCACTTTGAATGATTTTCCTTTTGATTTTTCCTTTTGATTCCTATCAAGAATTTGAAAGAGATGTTAAACCTCAGGAAAAATATGAAAACAGGGTGACTAGGGCCAACCAACTTAAAGGGAAATTAAGAAGATGGACTAAACACATTAAATGTCCGTTAAAGGAAGATGAGAACAGCAAAAATCCGTAATGAAATGTGCCATTACATACAGAAAGAACAAACTTGCTGAATAGCAGACACTCCTTTGTCGGTTCGGCCTGCAACCACGGCACAACCTTCCAGTGGTTTAGATTTTTCCTTCAGAAGTTGTGCTTTTTTGTCATCAACAAATCTCCCAAGAGATCTTTCAACTATTCTGCAGTGCATTCAAGTAAGAGATAGATAATATAAATTTCAGTTTTCATAAAATCAAAGGGGGAAAACAGCTTACTGTAAACAGCTTACTCCTGAACAGTGTTCAAACCAGGCTGCTTCTGTAATCCATCAAAAGCACATCCACTGTATGAAACAATTATCTTGAACGTTACTCTTTGCCATCTTCCACTCCTTTCTTCTCTCTCATCACAACCCTCTGATCTTTTATAATCATCGTCAACAACATCATAACGTGTCTGCCATAAAAACTTAGTTGAATAAATACAAGCAACAAATGGGTTAACCGAATCGAAAAGAAACAGAGAGATACCTGAATGTCATTGCCATTGCCAGTCCCGAATAACGTCGATAAGGTTAAGCAGCCGTTAACCACATCGGAATAGAAACGGCGAACATCCTGCCAAGGTCGCTCATACATGAATTGAAAGCTCTCTCTAGCGGTCCACCTCGCAGAACTACAAGAATCGGTGTGGTTGTAGTGAAAATAAACCTTAGTTTCCGTTTGGTTCTCCATGGATGGCATTGATGCTAATGCTCTGAAGCTCCCTGGATTTTCCTTTTTACGGATAAAAGCTGCTAATGTAGGGGGAAATGTGTGAAAACAATCCACACAACCCCAACAACCTTAACCATAACATATTTGTTGAGTTAATCGATCGACGGAATCGGCCAAGAGGGGGTGAATTGACAATTAAAATTTCGGTGGAAGCTTTTGCAGAAAATTGAAAAGATTTGCACAGCGATTTAGAGTGGTTCGACTTTCTCAATCAAAGTCTACGTCCACTACCTTAGCTATCCACACTAAGGATTTTCCACAAATTCACTAATTTGTCTTTCTTTTGAGGACAAAGAGTAACCTTACAAACCCTCAAGAATTATACCTCAAATTCTTGATAAAACTATCTCCCAAAGAGAACAATACAAATTTGCAAACTTACAAGGAAATCCTCACAAGGTAGATTGTTTGCACAATTCTAGAACAAAGAAAAGAACACTCAAAGATGAATACAATTGAGCACAATATGTGTTCTTGAAAGCAAAATGAATATTGAATGAAAATAGGTTTACTTAAGTAAGGATTAAAAATGATTTTTGAAATATTTGAAGTAATGTTTTGATATTCGAATAATTATATCGAATATACTTAGAAAATCATTTGGAAAATCTTAAAATTCATTTAACTTAATTTGTTATATCGAAATATCAAAATGTTTTCAACAATATTCTATTTCAATCATAAGATATCTTACAAACCAGACTGCTTCATCATTCGCCATGATACATAAACCTTGGCTAAATATGATCATTTTCACAATAAATCAAAATCATCAATTGATAGGAAAACGATGGCGTGGACTAGGGAGGAAAGAGTGGTAAATCAATACAATATGAAGTAACTCGTTGTCTCTTTGGATCCATGTCACAAATTCGCAATTATGCAACTAACTTATTAATAGCTCAACCAAAAATCACTCAGTAGTTCTCTAAGGATTTTCAACTGACACTACAAGCAAAATTCTTAAATATCACAATCAACTAAAGAAACAAGCAATTCTAATCTTGACTATCAACAAGTAACAGGAATCATTTTCAGTAACTCAAGAAATTCACAAGATATCTATGTTTCTTGCAATTTTTCGACTAATCCAAAATAAATTCACAAGCAGTTCTCAAGATCAACCAAAAATTCACAAGATAGAACTAGATATGAAGATGAAATAGTCAATGAAGAGAAAAAACTAAAGAGAATAATTATCTAAAACAAGGATTATAACACTTCACTTGAATGATTTTCCTTTTGATTTTTCCTTTTGATTCCTATCAAGAATTTGAAAGAGATGTTAAACCTCAGGAAAAATATGAAAACAGGGTGACTAGGGCCAACCAACTTAAAGGGAAATTAAGAAGATGGACTAAACACATTAAATGTCCGTTAAAGGAAGATGAGAACAGCAAAAATCCGTAATGAAATGTGCCATTACATACAGAAAGAACAAACTTGCTGAATAGCAGACACTCCTTTGTCGGTTCGGCCTGCAACCACGGCACAACCTTCCAGTGGTTTAGATTTTTCCTTCAGAAGTTGTGCTTTTTTGTCATCAACAAATCTCCCAAGAGATCTTTCAACTATTCTGCAGTGCATTCAAGTAAGAGATAGATAATATAAATTTCAGTTTTCATAAAATCAAAGGGGGAAAACAGCTTACTGTAAACAGCTTACTCCTGAACAGTGTTCAAACCAGGCTGCTTCTGCAATCCATCAAAAGCACATCCACTGTATGAAACAATTATCTTGAACGTTACTCTTTGCCATCTTCCACTCCTTTCTTCTCTCTCATCACAACCCTCTGATCTTTTATAATCATCGTCAACAACATCATAACGTGTCTGCCATAAAAACTTAGTTGAATAAATACAAGCAACAAATGGGTTAACCGAATCGAAAAGAAACAGAGAGATACCTGAATGTCATTGCCATTGCCAGTCCCGAATAACGTCGATAAGGTTAAGCAGCCGTTAACCACATCGGAATAGAAACGGCGAACATCCTGCCAAGGTCGCTCATACATGAATTGAAAGCTCTCTCTAGCGGTCCACCTCGCAGAACTACAAGAATCGGTGTGGTTGTAGTGAAAATAAACCTTAGTTTCCGTTTGGTTCTCCATGGATGGCATTGATGCTAATGCTCTGAAGCTCCCTGGATTTTCCTTTTTACGGATAAAAGCTGCTAATGATTTTACGGTAAACGATGTCACCATGTACCCTCCGTCTCTCTCCCCCCCCCCCCCCGAATTCCATAACACACCGTAGCGATACCAAGCTCATTACCCGCTCCGATAAAAACAGATTTCATAAATCGGGTTCGGGTACTATTTAGTATTAGGGTTTAGCAAGTGAAACTGAGCCGGATACTGGCGCGCGATTCATAAATTGACTTTAAGACATCTTGTAAATTTATTTTACATTTTAGATAAACAAGGGTTAATGTCTTAACTCAGTTTAATTTTACTTCGATGGCGTCATTATCTTTACAATATATAAAAGTACGTAAGTTCAAATATACATGAATGACGAAGAATATAGATTATATGGGAGTATTAATTTAAATTTTAATAAAAAAAATAAATTAAATTTTGTTATAATTTTATTGATTGAAGATTATTTGATAACTAGGTTTATTTAGTAATAATTTTTATTGGACAAAGATTTCTTGTGATTAAATATTTAATTTTATAAATAGAAAGTATATATTGTTCTTTAGAATTATGAGAGAAAATTGAAAATTATTTTAAAGATATATAATCATTTTATAATTTCTGTAACTCTTAAAGTTTATACTTCAGAGATGATTTTTGTATGAATGTTAGGAGTGTTTTCAGGTACATTAAATTTTATTATATATATATATATATATATATCAGATTTTAGTATACGTAAAGTATTATATAATTGTACTCTTTATGAATTTTATATTTATAGTGGGTTTTTATTTTTTCTTTCGTTAAATAAATAAAATTAAACCACATCAAATATTATCTCTTATATGTGTCTATTTCTATATTAATATTATTTTGGTAATTATTCCACGTTGATATCATCTTGAATAATCCAATTGTATATATTTTAAATTAATAGAGATTAAGTGAGTATTTATATTTTATAATAACAAGTGGCGACGAGTGATGGGGGCGAGATTTCATAGGGACGCAAATGATGTCAACACATATGTCTTATTAATTGCGGTTTATGAGGCTGCATAGATCCCCGTGATAGAATTTTAAGAGTTAATTTCGCAAAGCATCTTCAATTCTTAAACTATAATCTTTATTTTAAATTGATTTTTAAAATTTTTTAATATTTTAATTATATCTTAAATTATATGTATAATATTTGTTTAAATATAAATTTTAAATATTTATCATTGATCGTTTATACACTTAACATTTATAATACTCAAACCAGGAACATTAAAGAATAACAATAATTTTTCTACTACTTAGATCGCTTTGTTCATGCTTGTATTATCTTCTCATTTTACTATTATTTTAAAAACACAATATTTGCCATTTATTCAAACAATTTGGATTAGGGGTGTAAACGAGTCGAGTTGAGCTCGAGTATTGATGAGCTCGACTCGACTCGAAAACTCGCGAGTTTAAAATTTTCAAACTCGAATCGAGCTCGAAATCCTGAATTGAAGCTCGTGAGCAGCTCGAAAAGGCTCGAAATGAAAAAAAAAATTCTTAAGCTTAACTCGATTGAAGCCTCAAACTTGAACATGAATATTAAATACATTAAATCTTACTATATTTTTTAGAAAAATATATAAATATTAATATTATTAATATTTTTTAAAAAAAATATTAATATATTATATTTTCGAGCTGCTCACGAGTTTTTTTAATCGAATATCGAGCAGTTCGTTTCGGCTCGTTAAGAACTCGAGTCTTGAGCTCAAGTCAAGTCCATTCGATCCGAGTATTTATCAAGCCTTGATCGAGTCGATCTCGAGTAACTCGAGATCTGTTTCGTCTCATTTACAACCCTAACTTAAATACAGTGCTTGTACTATCTTCTTAGTTTGCTAATATATCCTTTTTATTTTTTTAATAAATATCGAAGTTTGATTATTATTTTATACATTAAAAATATATTTATATTCCTCCTTTTATCGTCAATCATCTTTTCAATATTCTTATTTTGAAAAGAATGATAATAATTGAAGTTTATTTTTTATTCGAATAAATAAATATAAAAAAGGTAATATGAATATTAAATGATGATATTTAATTTATGATTATATGAATTAAGTTTTCTAAGAAGGTGGCTTTGATAAACTTTTTTTTTTGTAAATTATTAATATTATTTTTAACAATAATTTATGTAACTATTTTTTTCAATGTTTTTTTGGGGTCAATATATTAATCTACAAAAGTCATATTTGGTCTACAAGTTCTAAAAAATACTAATTTGCTCTAAAAGTCATGTTTGATGTACAAGTGCAGCAGCGTCGCTAAGAAGTAAAAACAAGAGACGTGCGATGCCACTGAATGGAGATGGATTTCTCTTTGTAAACCCTATTTGGTCCCTTCAAATGTAGATATCTACATTTTGACTTTTTCAATAAATTCAATAATTTTATTAATTATGATTGTCATTACAGGTCGTTGGATTACTCTTTTTAACCCATACGGTATTAAAATACTTTTATTTTAATAAAAAAAATATATCAGCTACCGAAATTGACTGATATTTTTTTAATAGTTCGATGTAACTACAAAGTATTATTTATTTATAATTTTTTTAACTATTTAATAATTGACACACACTCTGCATATATAATTATTTGAAAGTTGAACTCACGACCCTTAGGGATAATAACATTCTATTTTATCACTTAAGCTATTTGATGATTCTAAATACAATATTTTCAAATACGACGGTTAATAATTCTTTTTATTATTTCAAAATTTATCTCATTTATTTTTATGTTAATATTGATAATATTTTAATTAGGAAGAAAATTATTGATAATGTTATATTTTATCATTAAATAATGATATTTATTGTCTTTATCATTTGTTTAAGTTGTTTGATTGAATTTTTAACTCTCTATTTAGAAAAATTCTAGAAATACACGTCGTACACCAAAATATACCACTGATGTGACACAATGATACACAACATTAACTTAAGAGAAAATCGTCTCAGTGACCAAAAATGCCTGATAATATACAATTTTAACTAAATTTTTTTGGATTTGCCAAAATGACCAACAAAATCGCAATGCGATCTCTAATTCGCAACGCGATTTTCAGTATCGCAAATTCGCGTTACATTTCATGTTGCGATAGTTGAAAATCGCGTTGCGATAGTCTACAGTGTCGTTGCGATTTTCATTTCGCGTTGCGATAGTGTACAGTGTCGTTGCGATTTTCCATTTCGCGTTGCGATAGTTGAAAATCGCGTTACGATAGTCTACAGTGTCGTTGCGATAGTTGAAAATCGCGTTGTGATAGTCTACAGTGTCGTTGCGATTTTCCATTTCGCGTTGCGATAATCTACAGTGTCGTTGCGATTTTGTTTCTTAAGAATTTTCTCTAAAAAGATAGTATCCGCGCGGACGTGTCGAAGACACGTATTACCACGACCCGACCACGACCACGACCCGAGACGAGACGGCGGCGGCGGCGCGCGAGAGTCCCCCTTGTTCTCTTTCACTCAACAAGGAAATGTGAAATCCAAGTCTTAAATACACTTCCATATAGTGTTTCCAATACTATGTGGGATTGAGCATTACTCAACACTTCAAAAAAAATATAGCAATTTTTGTAGCATGTTTCCTACTTAATCCATATCTAAAAATATTAAAACATTTTATCATATTAAAACTATATGTATAAGTTTGAATTAAAATATAGATATCTACAACTCTTTTAATTCTTTTGATAAAATGATAAAATATTTTAGATATGGATTAAATGAGAAACATGCTACAAAAATTGTTATATTTTCTTTGAAGTGTTTGGTTGAGTGTAAGAAAGTGTTCAACGAAATGTCTAAGAAGAATCATGTTACTTGGAATGTGATGATCACTGGCTCGGCTAAGCAAGGAGAGATTAAGTTTGCACGTTTTCATGTTCGAACAGATGCCCGATAGGAATATTGTTTCATGGAGCGGAATGATTGATGGATGCATTAGTGAAACTCCATTTAATTTTGCAAAATCTTCTGTACAATACCACATGTGAAAATTGGCTAATTACATGCATCTCCACATGTGAAACTCCATTTAATTTTCCATTTAATGTTAGGCTTTCATTTTGGCAGACCTCAAATGCCCTGCCCCACAGTTTCATGTTCATCTCTTGAATGGCTAACGTTCATGTTAGCATGTTTTATACATATAGTTTTAATATGATAAAATATTTTAATATTTTTAGATATGGATTAAGTAGGAAACATGTTACAAAAATTGCTATATTTTCTTTGAAGTGTTGAGTAATGCTCAATCCCACATAGTATTGGAAACACTATATGGAAGTGTATTTAAGGCTTGGATTTCCTATTTCCTTGTTGAGTGAAAGAGAACAAGAGGGACTCTCGCGCGCCGCCGCCGTGGTCGTGGTCGTGGTCGTGGTAATACGTGTCTTCGACACGTCCGCGCGGATACTATCTTTTTAGATAAAATTCTTAAGAAACAAAATCTTTTTTTAATTTACTGTAGACTATCGCAACGCGAAATGGAAAATCGCAACGACACTGTACACTATCGCAACGCAAAATGAAAAATCGCAACGCGAAATGCAGCGCGAATTTGCGATACTGGAGATCGCGTTGCGAATTAGAGATCGCATTGCGATTTTGTTGGTCATTTTGGCAAATCCAAAGAAATTTGGTTAAAATCGTATATTATAAGGCATTTTTTATCACTGAGGCGATTTTCTCTTAACTTAATTGTCATTATTACATTAATATGAATAAAATATAATGATCTATGCATAATTAATCATTTATTATTATTCAATTTAAAATTTTATATAAATATAATTAATTTATATTTGTATTAAAAAAATATAATTATTTTGATAATTTTTATTTGTTTATGATCAGAACACTTAATTTATATAAATTTGTATATTCATCCCAACAATAATTATCAGAATCAACAGTCGACGATCTTATTCATGACCGAAATATCGTGTTCTTCAACCTCAGCTTAAAATTCCCGTTCACCCAGTCCTACCGTTTTTATCTACTTTACAACCACCCCTCTTCCATCTTGTAATCAATCTTTATAAACAACCCCAAATTCACTTTCACCCAAAAAATTTATGGTCTAAACAAATATTCGTAGCATCGGTTAATTCTCCATATGTAAACAATGACTTCAAATTGCCTAAATTATTGGGTTCTGCTTGGTGAATGCACAAAATCACTTTTGAAACTAGTTCTAATGAAAGAAGCTGAAGACTGTGTCTTTGTATATGATGAATATATAAGCATGTAACATTGATCAAAACAAGAGATCCAATTGCATAAAAATCGAAAATTAATAATAATTTCTTAAGCAACTGAATAAACTAATATGCAATTGTGAAAAAAATATATGATCTTGAGAAGAGCCTGGTGGGGATGGCATTACATAACCACTAGTAAGTAACACGATTTTTCGGTGATGAATAGGATCGTCGGCGGTTAGTTTGATGGTTGTTATTGGGATCGACATACAAACTTATATAAATTAAGTGTTCCAATCCTAAAAAAATAAAAAAAAATCTAAAATAATTATAATTTTTAATAAAAATATAAATTAATTATATTATTATTAAAATTTAAGTTAAATAATAATAAAAGATTAATTGTGGACATGTTATTATATTTTAATATTTATTTAATAAGGACAATTTAGTTAATGGTGTGTATCGGTGTGTCACGTTAATAGTTATTTCAGTATATAATGTGCACTCTAGACTCATATTTATTTATATGATTTTTTATCCTTGATTGATTAATTTGTGTATTTTAATTATTTTAATGTATATATCTAACTTATGTGATTAATTTATTATTTTTTTTATAATTTTTATGTACTTTTAAATTCATAAAATGATATTATTAGTGAAAGAGAATCTTATTTTCTCTAGAAATTTTCGTTAACAACTATGTCTACATGATATAAAATTTCATGTATTTTTAGATATTTTTTTATTCAATAAAATTAATTATTTATATTAATTAAGAAACATATAAAAATCTTATTACTTTAATTGTGATTTTATAAATTAAATAGATCGATAATTAAATATTAGATAAAAAGGAAAAAAGAAATAAAGTTATAAAATTTTCCAGTTAAACAAACAAAGAAAGCAAGCAAAATTGCAACCAATAGATTTATTACAATATTTATTTTTTGTAGCCAACAAGGAGGGTTTGTGTTTGTATATTTATAACGAAGAAAAACAAGTAGGGAAAGCCTCTCATATCTCCCCTTCCGATTTAACTCATCAGCTCTTTTCTCCTTTCCCGTTCACTGTTTCAATACTCAAAAGAAATGGCGGAGGAGAAGAAAGCTCAGTCTTCTGGGGTTTGGCCAAAGGTCAAGCCTTTTGTCAATGGCGGTGCCTCTGGTATGCTTGCTACCTGTGTCATCCAACCCATCGATATGATCAAGGTTTTTCACTCATCTTTTAGTAGATCTGATTTTCAAGTATTTTCCTTTTGATTTTTTAGGGTTTTTAGATCTGGGATTTGTTTGGGTTTGTGTCCTTTTGGCTAATGGTATTTTGTTGGTTTTGGATTTTGGTTGGTTGTAGGTGAGAATCCAACTGGGTCAGGGATCGGCGGGAACCGTCACCAGGAACATGCTTAAGGAGGAAGGTGTTCGCGCCTTTTACAAGGTTCTTTTTCTACAGCTCCATTCAAGTTTTGAATTTTACCTCATTGATCGAACTTTTCAGGTTTTAGATATGTTATTGGCTTCTGAGACCTGTGTTATAGAAGCTGGATCTTTACTTTTAAAATAGTTTCGAGATTTTCTACATTTTTGTTAATGTTTTATATGAAATTATTTATTGTTTCAGTTCCCAAAGTATTGGAATTTGGTGCTGTTTCATTGGATGAGATGTGGTTGTTGATATTATTTACTGCTTAATTGTTAGTAGCATGTAAGAAAGATGATCTCAGCACAAGCTTTTCATAACTTGAAACTGCAATTTACTCATTTGTGGGATTGGGAATTCTGGTATACATACGATTGAGTCCTTTGGCTTCCGAATAGAGTAAAAAGAAGTGTTTTGAAGCATTGCTATTTGATCTGGATCTGTTCTAAAAGAGTTTAAGTGTTTCGAATTGTTTGATGACAAGGACTAAATCTGGGAAAACCTCTGAAATTATTTCAATATCGGGCCTTGGGCATAGAATAGCTCATACATAGATATAGTGACTTTATCTTGATGAATATGTACTTCAGATTTTCAAAAGCGAAAAAAAAAACCCGGCTTGATGTTCTAATTGGAATTAAAATGTTTTAGTTTTTCTATAAGTCCTTTGTCTCACTTGTGATTTGTCTTGTGATTTGTTGGACAGGGGCTATCAGCTGGACTTCTCAGGCAAGCTACATATACTACTGCTCGACTGGGATCATTCAAGTGAGTGTCATTGCTGTCCTTTGTGTGACTTTGTTATACATTTTGAGATGCTTCCTTTTTTTGTTAGGATGATTAATAGTTTGATTCTGAAGCGTGACCTTTATTTTTGACCTTAGTAACATTTTCCTTTTTTGCTGTATTTGTGTGATGTGGTTTGTTTTTTAGACTAAATTCAGATAATCTATTCAGTTTAGGTTCAGCTTTTGAATTATTTCCATTGTTTTCTATAGGATGCTGACGAACAAAGCAATTGAAGCCAATGACGGGAAGCCCTTACCTCTATACCAGAAGGCTTTGTGTGGTCTGACTGCTGGTGCTATCGGGGCCTGTGTTGGCAGTCCAGCTGATTTGGCACTTATCCGTATGCAGGCTGATGCCACTTTGCCTGCTGCGCAGCGCCGAAATTACTCCAATGCATTCCATGCTCTCTATCGTATTGTTTCAGATGAAGGGGTTTTGGCACTTTGGAAAGGTGCAGGCCCTACGGTAGTCAGAGCCATGGCATTGAACATGGGAATGCTTGCCTCATACGATCAAAGTGTCGAGTTTTTCAAGGATAACCTTGGCTTAGGAGAAGCTGCTACTGTGGTTGGTAAGAGTCTTTCTTAGTTGTAACTGGCATGAATGTTTAACTATTATAATGTCTTAATCTATCATACATTCTAAATTTGTTGAATGAACAATACATGGCTTATTCCTCACTGATACTTTGTTGGTATAGTCAAGTAGCAGAATCATTAGAAGTTATTGTGAAAGATGTACAGTCTAATGAGGCTATTACGAAATACTATATACTGATGGGTTGATCAAGTTCTTCCATTTGGGTATATGGTTTCCCTTTGGTTATATGATTCATAGGAGGGAGAGCCGCTCCTTATTTCCGAAGTGGCATTATCATTTGACTAGGTCTCTTTGAGGAAAGATTGTAATGCATTTCACAATTCTTAAGACCATTGGTTGGCATTCACTAAGTCTTAAACTTAATAACTGTCTTTTACATCTTTTTACATCTTTAAGCAAAGATACAGCTCTTTTTCCGTATTGATTAATGTTCCTTTTCGTTCATTGTCGCAGGTGCAAGTACCATTTCGGGTTTCTTTGCTGCAGCTTGCAGTTTGCCTTTCGATTACGTGAAAACACAAATCCAGAAAATGCAACCTGACTCCTCGGGCAAGTATCCATACACTGGCTCTTTGGACTGTGCCATGAAAACCCTCAAGGCTGGAGGACCATTCAAATTTTACACAGGGTTCCCAGTGTATTGCGTTAGAATCGCTCCACACGTCATGGTATTTACTTCACTCTTCCCCATATACAGTTTCTTAAGCTCAACCGTGAACTTTCCATCATATTCTGGTGACCGGATGTTCTCTTTTGCAGATGACTTGGATATTCCTCAACCAGATTCAGAAGGCTGAGAAGAAAGTGGGGTTGTAGAGTGTTCTCGTGTGTCGGAGACGAGGAGTAACGGTGTAGTAGGTTGATCGCATTGAATAAAAGTGCTCGTTTTTGGTCGGTTCTCGCCGATTATACAAATTTTGAAGTGGATTTCAAATCAAAATCTTCAATGTTTTATTTTGCCCCGTTAAATTTGTAGGGTGTGATTGAAAACAAGAGTTTTAGGAGTATGATTTTAAAGCTTACAAGGAACTTTATACTTTTGATTCAAGAATAAGTGCACATTAAGATATCAAACTAAGTTCAAAGGCATTATTTGAATGATTTATGGATTTACATTATATTTCATCCGTTCCATTAAATTTCCCTCTTTTGGTTTACAAAATGACTATGAGAAAAGTCAATAAATATTAATATTAATATTAATATTTCATTTTTTATTCTTTTATGTTCAATTCTTCTACTATTATGAAAATAAATTTGTCAAATCCATTACTCACTTTTTAGGGTTAATTTTATCATTTCTTACATTTTATACAATTTAACATATGATTAAATTTTTCTCATAAAATTATGTATTGGGTTAATATGGAACAAAAATAATGATGCAGAGAGAGCAATATTTAAACTGTTTATGGTTTACAAATTTAAAAGATTTATTCTGATCTTGTAATGATATTGAATTTTACTGAAACAAAAGAAGATACAACTTTAACAATGCAACCAATCACAAAGAGAATTTTAAGAACCGTATCCAACAAAAAAAAATTAAACAGAAAATAAAATAAAAAAGAAAAGCTAAAGGCGAATAACAGTCGAAGGCTTCTTTTGAATCTGACGTCCATCATCCTCAGTAACCTAATAATCATCAATAGTACTCATATGTTTATATTTAACTAGACGCTTTAAAGATGATTGAGTGTCGAGCCAACAAAGCAAACTTCCATTTTGTTTCGTAAAATAGACCTACATTACATCGGCAAACAACCGTAAAAGGAAATTTAATCATTGAAAGATCATCGACAATCGTAATTCAAATACGAGTGTTAATTTTCGAATGAAAAAGTATGAGTTTGAAACATATGAATAGTTAGATGATCATTTTATAATTTTTAATAATCGGATGACTCAACAAAATATTGTCCTATAGTCGAGGGACCTTTTTGTAACTTTTAAGATGTATTTAATTAAGTCAGTTCACATGTTTCCTCACGATTTAATAAATAATTATTTAAAATATTTAATTTTATAATTATTTACACTATTAAATAAATAAATAAATGATAAAAATTGAATACAAAAGGAAATGGTGGAGTTATCATAAAAAGAAGGGTTTTGCAAGGTAAGATTAATATTAGTGTAACAATGGGCGCAGTGATGTTTAGGGATGGAAAAAAACCTGAACTCGATAGGGAAAATCGAAAATCGAATTAAACGACGACGGGAAAAATCGTTTATGTTAAACGGTGACGGGAAAAAACCGTTTATGCTAAACGGGGACGGGGACGGGTTTGGTAATCCCCGCCCCGATACCCGACCCGATAAATATTAAAAATAATTATTATTATATATATAATATTAATAAATTTAAATTAAATTAAAAAATATATATAATATTTATATATTTAATTTAAATAAATAAATATATATATATATATATACCCGGCCCGATACCCGACCCGATACCCGTTTAAATAACTGTTTAGGCTAAACGGGGACACCCGTTTCCCCGGTTTTTCCCGATTACCCGATGAGGATCACTGTTTAAATTCTTGCGGTTTTTTAAGCGGGGACGGGTACGGGTTTTTTAAATGGGGACGGGGACGGGGGATCAATATCCGGCTCGAACCCGGCCCGTTGCCATCCCTAGTGATGTTCATGTTTCTGTTATGCTTCGCGGCCGTATCGAGGACGGTGGTCCGCGGCGAAGATCCCTACTTATTTTTCACTTGGAATGTTTCCTACGGCACCATTGCTCCCCTCGGTGTACCCCAACAAGGCATTCTTATCAACGGAGAGTTTCCGGGACCGAATATCAACTCGACTACTAAAAATAATGTTGTGATCAATGTCTTCAACAACCTCGACCTCGACGAGGCACTTCTTTTCACATGGTAAACACTATATACTATGGTTCGGATTTCGGATTCGATTATTTAATGTAGAACTCAAGTTCATTACACTATCATGGCCGGGGATTGGTTCGGCAAAGGACACAAGACCCTCAAGAAAATATTGGATAGCGACCGCAATCTTGGCAGATGCGATGGCGTCCACATTAATGGGAAAGTAGGGAAAGGCGACGGCAAGGACACTCCTCTCTTTACCACGGAGACTGGCAAGACTTACAAGTATACGATTTGCAATGCAGGGATTAAGACATCTCTTAATATTAGGTTCCAAGGACATAAAATGAAACTAGTTGAGATGGAAGGTGCTCACACGATCCAAAATGAATACGAGTCCCTTGATGTGCACGTCGGACAGTGCTTTGGTGTGCTTGTAACAGCGGACCAAGAACCGATGGATTATTATGTTGTCGCCTCTACCCGATTCACGAAACGAGAGATTACTGCCACTGGCGTCATCCGCTACAATAATGGCAAGGGAGTGGCCTCAACTAAGGTAACTCCACCACCACGCGGGGGTTGGGCTTGGTCGCTCAACCAATTTCGTACCTTCCGTTGGAACCTTACCGCTAGCGCTGCTAGGCCTAACCCTCATGGGTCATACAAATACGGTGCCATTAACATCACCCGTACCATCAAGCTAGCTAACACCGCCAATAAAGTAGACGGAAAGCTTCGATATGCTATCAATGGGGCATCCTATGTCGAACCAACCACTCCGCTGAAACTCGCAGAGTACCATAAAGTTGCAGACAAGGTTTTCAAGTTTTCAAGTACGACACCATTCCAGACGATCCACCGGAAGAGATCACACAAGTCCGTATGGAACCGATTGTTCTCAACATGACGTTCAAAAACTTCATCGAGATCGTATTCGAGAATCGCGAAAAAGCCATCCGGTCCGGCTATTCATTTTTTGCTGTGGCGTAAGTGTAGTATCCACCTAAATATGCTCATATTGGTTTATTCAGACTTTAATACTATGCTTTTGGCACCCCATTATTTGCAGCGTTGAGACCGGGACATGGAGTTTGGACAAGAGGATGAATTACAACCTTCTCGATGCAGTGAGCCGACACACGATCCAGGTTTTCCCTCGTTCTTGGGCTGCTATCCTTATGACGTCCGACAACTGTGGAATGTGGAACATTAGGTCCGAGATATGGGATATGCGCTACCTCGGACAACAATTCTATATAAGCATTCTTTCCCCTGAAAAATCCATCAGAGACGAGTACAACATGCCGGATTCTGCAGCAGTTTGCGGCATCGTAGCAAACTTGCCAAGGCCGGAGAAACAGTACAGCTGATAAGGTTGCAATCAATGATATTTCTATCCGAAGTTCAATTATAATTATGGTTCGGCTTCGTAAACAAATATAGGAATCTAAGAAGAGGAGAGCAAATTGTGGATCAGTTGCTTAAAACAATCAAGAACTATAAGTTTTGGCAATTTAATTTGAACGTATTTCCATCCTTCCAACATGCTGTGCTTAAATTTGTTATCTTTTTAGGGTTGAAATCTTTCGATATCCATCTAAATATAAAATAACCCAAAATGATCGTAACTCATAACATAAAATGACTCGAAAACATAATGACTTAATCTGAAACTGCCTCGAATCTGAATTTATTAGAATCATGAACAAAAAAAAGAAAACTACAATGCAACAGTTTCAGTATTTTTTTTCTTTAATTCAAAAAGAAATTAATTAATTAATATTAATACATTCAACCAGTGTTTGATTCTAAAACTCAAAAAAAGCACACATGAGGGTCAAATTACAATTTATCCAAAAGCCTTATATCCATTATTTCCTATGAAACTTAACTTCATAACTTATATCTCCAATATTTCTCTGTCAATCAAACAGATCAAAATCGGATTATTTCCAAGCCTTGAATGAGAGCAGGTGGGATGAAAATAACAGAGCAGAGCACAAGCAACAACAGCACAATTGCATTTCTTATCAAACAACTAATAGAAGGCTTTAAGCCAAACTCGACAGAATCACGATTATTTATTTTACCAATTTCACCGTGTTAAACCGGCCGCCATTCACCTTTGAGGTGGATCCACTGTTCGAACATTTGCACCGATCATTCCTTCAATGAGATCCTTTGTTATCTCCACAAAATGACCCACTATTTCGTGAAATTGCTTTAATCCTGACAGTGGGAGAATGATGGAAGACCGGTCAGAACCTGCAACCTGCAATGTTGAACCATCCTATTATCAACCAATATAGTCCATGCCTGCCCTTTCATCTCATTTCTCATATATACACACATATTATATTTAATATGAAAGGAAAAGAACGAAAGTCGAATGGAGAATAGTACTTCTGATATCCTCAAGAAATGTCCTCTGTTGTTGTTCCCGAGATCAAAGAAAAACCTCTTCTGATCAACTCTGATAACCTTTGAAACCCCCATGTTACCGATTTCGTCTTGTGTTGGCAATTCAACTGATCTATCTACATTCAAATCAGAATTTGAGGTAGGCTGTTTGTGTCCAGATATGAAGCCAGCCCCGACATCATCTGAAAGCCCAACAAGGTGTTCTGAAGGTTCAGAACTTTGCTGCTTCAGAAGTCCATATAAACAACAAAAAACAATCAGATTGAAAGATCAAATGAAACTAAATATGCAACTCATGTATAACAGAAGAAACTGGAAAGCGAGGATCACAGGAATGTAACATAAAGAGACCTGATTTGGCATTATGAAAAGCCTTGATGCCTCGTTGATATCTGCCAATATGTTCCTGAAGGCTTCCCACCCTTCATCTCTGGTACTTCCTGCTGGCACAATAATGGTACTGCGGTTTCTGCTGACAGATGCTTCAGACACCTTCAAAGAAAATTTCTTTAGAGAAATAGTTCTATTAAAAGAAGATGGCGAACTCATAACTTTTGCGTTTTCCCATCTTCTAAAGCTCAAATATGAAATTAGACAAATATGAAGACAGTGCTGTTGAGGTACGATATCTTGCACATAGTAAGAAAAATGTGTGTCAATGTTTTTCTACACCAATTAAGTTGTTTATAAGAGGTTCTTTACTAAGGCTCTTACATCACTGAGCAAAAAGAAAAATGCTCTTAGGTCAAGAAGGCTAAAGGTAAATTGACCTGCAATGACCCACTCAGTTCAGCTAAAAGTATACCT